GCGCGGGTCGCCTTCGATGTGGGTGCCCTTCGCTGCGGAGGCCATTCCCCCGCGCAGCGGTCGCCTGCGGTGTCCGTGCATTCCTTGGCATACCTTGCCGCGTGTCGCGGGTGGCGTAGTGAAAGGCTACCAGGCTACGCGCGTGGCCTTTCGGTGGCAATTCATAAGACAGCAAAATAAGGGAGCGGATTCACCTCAGTGGAGACTATAAAAGGAGAGCACCCCGCCCCGCTTTTTCGGCTCAGAATCTAGAGGGGGGCCGGGCTCTAAAGCGGGGGACTTTTTTCCCTTGGCATAAAAAAGCAGCACACGCCTCAGCTTTTTTGGCTCAGGATCTAGGTAATGGGAAGGGATTTGGCGGCGAATCTATTTCAGAGAGGATCGGAAAAAATGAGACGCCCCCCGCATTCTCTTCCCAGGGTCTAGACGGTGAACTTACTTCATAGGGGACCATAGAGCTACCCCTAGCTTTTTCTGCTCAGAATCTAGAGGGAAGGGCTTGGACTGTGGGCCTTTTTCATTGGGGACCGGAAAAGGCTGAACGCTTTCCACCTTTTTGGATCAATTACTGGAGGGGAGTGCTTGGGCTTTGAATTTATTCCCGTTGGTTTTAGAAAAGCGGGAAAGATCTCCGCTGTTTACGGCTCAATTACTAGAGGGGAGCGCTCGGGCTGCGAACTTATTCCATTTGGGACTAGAAAAGAAAGAACTTGCCCCGCGTTTTTGTGTTCAATTACTAGAGGGGAGCGCGTGCGCTGCGAGCCTATTCCAGTGGGGACGAGAGAAGGCCCCGCCTCTTTCTCGCTTGTCTGTTCAATTACTAGAGGGGGGCGCTTAGGCTGCGAACCTGTTTCGGGGGGACTAGAAAAAAAAACTTTTTCTCTTGCTCATCTTTGCGATTTCCCTAGTGCTGTCTCATGTCAAAACGTGCCAAGAGGGGGACTCTTTTGAATTGTCCAGCCATCTGCTCCACGCTCTCCCCGCGAAACTCTTAGGCGAAACCGTTAAGGGACAGCGTTGCTCCGGTTCCCTTGTCAATTTCTCTGCCCCCTTTTTCCCCCGTTTGCCTCCCCCGGTCTTGCTCAAGGTGTGGCCGCGTTTTGCTCCTGAGCCGTCCGCCTTTTTATCGGTTTCGCGTGCTGCCTTCTGTTCTTTTCTGTGCTTTTCTGGCGTCTGCTTATCGGTTTCGCTACGACTGGGCAGCGATCCCGCGACACAGAGCGGGCATCTCTTGCCGCCTCAGTCCTGTGCGTGGCTCACTGCATCGCGAAGGCCTTGGGCAGGGGTGGCTCGGGTGGTGGGCAATCGAATATTTTGGGTTCTGTCTGCTCTGGTCATCGACCTCAGGGGCCTCCGGAGGTAGTTAGAAGCACCAAGAAAGAAGCACCGCGTAAAGAGCTAAAAAAAAAGAGTACGTCTGCACTAGAATACGCAGAAAAATGTCTGTAGTTGGTCGACCGTGGTGCTCGGAATAGTCAAGAGGGCTCCCAGCATCTTCGTTCGTGTTCACTTGAATCAAAACCGCTCGGCGTCTCGTTTTTGACTTGTTTAAACACCGAACCCACCTAAGGGGAGAACTACCCCCGTAGCGCATGTTTTTGGCCTCTTTTCTTGGTAGTTAACAGCCATCAATCATCATTGTTTTCAGTAACACCACAGGGCGCCTGCCTTTTCCGTTTGAGCAGCTTGGTCTGTGTTAACTTGAACTGAAAACCACCTGTCTCATCGTTTTGACTTGTGGAAACACAGCAGCAACTTCAACAACTTGCCAACTCCTCCCCTGTGTCAACTAGCTCCCTGCGCTTGTGCTTGTGTTAGCTTGAGACGCTCTAGCACAAGAGTGGCTCTAAGTTCGCTCTTCTTGTACCCTCTGCTTCTCATCGTTTTGGCGTTTGTGTTTACCTGCGCCAAAAAGCATTAGCAGCGACTAAGGAACTTGCCTAAACACGTCACTCCCGGCTAGGAGGTTGGGCCCGAGCCCTAAAAAAGACGACCGAAAAAAGTGGGGTAAATTTTCGGTCGCGATTTTCGCTAACAGTTAAACAGCCAGCCAACTAGTAGAAAAAAAGAAAGGAAAAAAAGCACTGAAACTATTCGGGTTCAAAGGGGGTGGCCTCGTGGAAATTCTTGGGCTGTAAGGCGCAGAATGCAAAACGGAGTCCATTTGCAATCCCAGGCCGAGGAGCCAACAAAATCCGCCGAGGATTTTCCACGAAACAGCATGGGGACCCCTACAGAGGACGCGCGCGCTCCCTAGCCTAGGAACGTGGAAGCTGGGGCGCGAGGCAGTTGGCTTTGTGCTTTTGGCTTTCCCGTGGGGCACCAGGTCGCTGAGTCGGTCCAGTCGTCCTCGGGCTGACGTCCTCGCCCTGTTGTGGTTTTTCGGGCAACACCCTCACCCACACCACCAAGCCGCTGAGTCTGTTCGGCCGTCCTCGGGCTGACGTCCTCGCCTTGTTGTGGTTTTTCGGGCAGCACCCTCACCCACACCACCAAGCCGCTGAGTCTGTTCGGCCGTCCTCGGGCTGACGTTCTCGCCTTGTTCGTTGGGGATTTTCGGTCAGCACCTTCACGCAACCAAGTCGCGGAGTTTGTCCAGTCGTCCTCGGGCGGGCGCTCCTGTCTTGTGGTGCTTCGGCTTCCTTGCACTCCTCCGCCGCTAGGCTGTTGAATTTGAGCGGCCCTTCTCGGATTGCCGGTTCTTCTTGCCCGGGTGTGGGGTCGTTTGCTTGTTTCGGAGCCTCAGGAAGTTATTTAGGTTAGCTCTTTTCTAGGAGACTTCTGTCAGGGTCTTTCGCGGGAACCGAGGGGGGGGGGGGTCGACGTGGTTCCCTTTCAACCCAAGGGGAGTCCGCCGTCGACTTCTTCGCCACCCAGGGGGGGTCTTGTTGTTTTAGCGTAGTGCCAGGAGTAGACTACTAAAAGGGCGGAGACTGGTAAGCTTTTAAGTATAAGACGTCCGTGACGGTTTTCGGTGCTCAGTAGTTTAGTTTGGAGGCCCCTGAGGAACAAGCAGAACAAGCAGAGAGAAGCGGAAGACTTTGCTTTGGTGGTGTTTGATCTTTTGAGAGGCTTGAAAGGGAGAGAGTTCGCCGGTGGTAGTTAAAAGGGTAACAAGGAGAAGCTTGCACAAGAAGAAGAAACAGCAAGAAGCTGGAAAAAACACCATTGAAAGCAAGACAAACCAACATGAGAAGCCTGAAACTATGGGACAAGGTTTAGACTGTATGTGACGACGTGGAGAGGTAAAAGGACAAACTTGAATGATGGACCTTGCGCGCATGGCAGTAGCCTAATTTTTTCCAGCGGTGGATGCTTTGGCAGCCTCGCACTGGCAAGGTTTTCTGCAGGTTCTTAATCGGCGGCCAGTGGTACCATGTGCAGCCGGGATTACGCTGCAACGAATGGAAAGGCCGATCATCCTCCTGCTCGAGAATGATTTGTTTTGTTTTTTATAGGACTGCGCCACCTGTAGTCCTTGTTTTTT